CAGCCCTGTGGAGTGGTGGTACCGGAGCATTCGGTGAGGAAAAGAGCTAGATTACAGTGTATTTAGTACCCAGAAATGGTTTGCTGGTGCTGCAAGACATTTCCCAGATGGCTCTGGCAGGGACAAGATCCTTGTGCCCTGCTGGACACTGTCAGGGTTTTGGTCAGAATATTTTACTGGTGGAAAACTCCAAGATGGAAACTATCCGGGCGTTCCATCTTGGCTGGGTAGCAAGTGGCTCAGCAGGTTGGGAGGGAGCACTCCGGATGACTTGTCTGTGTGGGAAAACTCTGAAATTTGAGCTTTCTTTGGGATTTAGGGAGAAAATTTTAAATCTCAGAATTTCCCACGGACTAGAAGTTCTATATATACAGATAATAACTTCTGTGGATTTTTTTTTTCCTAAGAGCACCCTGGCTGCTTCTTGTGGTAAAGGCTGTGTTCTGTTGTGAACTGCTGTTGTCATGGGTATTAATGCATTTTTCCTGCTCACGGGTGATTCTGCATCCAGAGGACGCACTTGGCATGGCCAAGGGGAAAAAGCTGGATGAGGATGGGCAAAACAGGAGGTGCTTCCCCAAGCTGGCTCTGCTCTTCCCAGTCTAGGCAGAAAATTTCTTCTGCCAGGAGAAAAACCTCTAATATGACTGCTATGTTAAAAAAATGGTTAAAAGCCTTGCAGAGCTCAGGCAGTGTCTTGCGCTGGTCTTCTGGCCATTAATACCCTCCTAGCTCATCAGTCCAGCCCTCTCAGCTTGGACCAGACACTGAGCAATACAGCTCTCACCCACCCACCACCCCTCGATCATAAGCCTCTTCCTTTATGGGTTTTTGGGGTGCCTCATTTAGGCAAGCCTTTATCCCACAGCTCCAGCAGGACCATGCGTTCACTGCAGCCGGTGCCCACCCTCCCCATCTATGAGATGGATGCAAAAGGGAGTGCTGAGATAGGAAGGACTCAATGAACTTCAAGTGATGCTTTATTGTCTTACAAGCATGAGTGATCCAAGCAGACAGAAGGCAGCCAGAGCCCAATTCCTATAAGCAACCCCCTCTGAGTTTTTCATGGGTCGTGCATTGAGACTCAATCCTTGTCTGGTGTACAGCGGTCATCCCCGTGGCTGATGCGATGGGCATCATCGGTCACCTTGGCCAAGACGATGGTGAACTCCTCGAAAGTCAGCTCTTTGTCCTTATTTAAGTCTGTCTCTTCGAAGAGCTTGCCCAGGTAGTCATGACGGTTCCTGCCCTGAAATTGGGGGACAGGACATGTGTTAGCATGCCCCCTCCCTGGCCTGCACACCCACTGGTGGAAACCGAGCCAGCTTTATTCTTGCGTGCCCTGGGAAGTGTTCGGAAGCTGCAGGATCATTGTGACCCTCTCCTACCTTGTAGTTAGCCCCTAGTTAAAACCCCAGATGGATAGGCTCTTGTCCCAAGCCCCTTTGGCTGCTCCGTACCCCTGCAGTGGCAGGAGGGATGAGTGTGGATGGTCCCACAGCGCATGGACAAGCTGGGTCCGATCACAGAAACTCTCTCTGAATGGACTGCAGCCCATTCCCCCAGGAACATCCCTGGAGGCAACCTCAGCCTCATCCCCCCCGCAACCCTCCCAGGAGAGCATCCCTCCAGGGAGCCCAACACGGCTCCTGTGGCACTCACACAAGCTTGCAGGAAGGTCGGTGCCTGCTCAGTCAGCAGTGTCTTGAAGTCTTTGAAGTTGAGGAGGTCAAGCTCCCCCTCCCGGATGCTGTAACGGTGGTAGACATCCACAATGGTTTTCAGGGCCATCTCCAGTGTGCAGTTTCCAGGGAACCGCCGAGTCTCAGGAAGGGTGTTTGCGGTGTGGGCGCATGTAGACATGGCTGAGCTCTTGAGGTACCTGCAGAAACTGTGTGGAGAAACCTCAAAGCCATGAGATACATCAAAAATAGGCACCCTACGCCATGTTCTTGGCCCCCACCCCAGGCACCCCAAAGGGGGTTGCGCTGCACCTCCCCAGCATAGCAGCAGATCTGCACCAGGAGCCCTGTCTCCTCGGGGCTGAGCGGACCAGCAGCGCCCAGCGTGCCCGGGGGCAGTCGGCAGCTCCTCGGTGCTGAGCGGGTAATAAGTGGTTTTAGGAATATCTCTGGTTTACAGCATCGCTCAACAGCCTTTAATTTTAGCTTCGCCCGAGAAGCGGCTTGTTCTTCCTGACCTGGAGGCACCTGTCAGGCAAATCAGACAAAGCCATTGGGCTGTAGTCGCGTATCTGTGCTCTGCCACTGACGGCAAGGAGGACTTTAAGGCAGGGAGCACAGTTCAGGTACGAGCTCCGTTGCAGCCTCTGCCTGACCACCTCCTTTCTTTGTGAATCTCCCTCTCCTCTTCGGGTTGCAAACCCTTTCCACCGCAGACACTGAACACAGAGACCCGATGGGTGCCACGATGCAAGTGACACCCCGGAAGGGCTCTCTCCTTGCCAGCAAAAACAATTACACCTCCACTAAAGATGGCACAGAAATGCCATTAATTTATACTTGTCATCTTGTAGCCAAAACCAGCTTCCTACCCTGGCCTGAGTAGAAAACATCACCTTGGAATAAAGCAGGCATGGCCTGAAGTGATATTCAAAATAGCTTTTCCCTCATCTTATTTCCTGCAAGAACCATTGCAGTGTTACTTACCCTTGTCTCCAAGAAGGGTTTGCAGAGGATGGGTCTGTTGCAGTGATCCAAGAGCCCTTTTATATACATCTGAGGTCCTCTTTCATCAGAGATGGTGACACACCTGCTGCAAGCAACAGCTTGAGTTAGCATTTCCCGTACCTGGAAATTGCAAGGTGGGAACTTCTGAACCCCTCCCGGTCTCATACCTCTGCACATAGTTCCTGGTTGCACCCACCGGGCTTTGGAAATGCTGTCCCTCCACCCCACCATCGCTTCCAACAGGGCTGAGCTGCTCGTGTGCGGGGCAAAGAATGGGGAAAAAAAACTGGCTGTACTGTCACACTTCAACCTGAGCGTAAAGGGCAAGTCTGTCCTGGCAGAACTCGCCAAAACTTTGCAGGTTTTGCAACGTGCTGAAAATTTTGCGTGCTGTCATGCCGATGTAGAAGAAAGAGGGGCTGTTTCAGAGAGATGTGGATAACTTTGTCCCTTGATTGGTCTTAATGTCATCTTTGTTTTCTACAATACTAACTGGTTGAACACTAGCAAAGATGAAGATAGCATCTGCCTTTTAATAAATTGTTTTCCACAGTATTTTCCATTACTTTCTATTTTCACTTCACTTGTACCAGATCTTTCCTCTTGCTCCCGAAACTTTGTGAAGGAAACTGTGCATAAAACAAGAAGAAAATCTGAGGTCAGGCTCTTTACTGGTTGGAGCATTAACTAGCAAGCGTTTTGCAATAGTTACCTCTGTGCCACCCATCTTGCGTTAGCAGAACAGGTACTAGAAGAATGGAGAGACTATAAAAAGATGTGAAAATAAGACAATAGATTCCAGGAAGAGGGTAGGAACAGAAAAACAAAAGGGTAACCATTCCTGTTTGAGGATGCTTCTTGCGTGTCCCGGGGGCAGTATCAAGAGCTGTTGCATGAGTTTATTCTGGTATCCCTGACTCACTTTATTGCTTTTTTTGTTTTCCTGCTCTACTCATCAGGGACTGTCAACAATCTGAAATTGCATCCTCGTTCCCCAGCTGGCTTTGCAAAGCATCAGCCGAGGCTGGTTTTTGCCCCGTGCACTTGCACAGTCCCCATGCAGACAGACCTGTGGACTCTGAATTCCCATCTTTCCCAGCCATATTCCCCAAAAACCTACGGGGGAGGCAGCTCGCGGTGCCCGGCCCCGCAAGGGGAGCGATGCCCAAGTGACACCCGGCTGCCCTGGCAGAACAGTGAATAATGTCTGGCCCTGGGGGACAAGGGCTGCTTCCTAATGGCAAAATTGTGGAACCAGAGAGTGATCATCTATGTCATTGAATGCAAATAATCACGCAATAGCCCCGTGCTTCCTTTCACGACTCAGTTTTACACGGGACAGGCTTCTGGTTTCAGCTGATGTTGGAAATGTCAAAGCCTCTTGAGCCTGAGGGTTTCCCACTCAGTGCCCAGTCACTGGCAGATACAGGAGTTATTTTCCACTCATGTATCTGCCCCCCAGGAGCCCACGGTGGCTTGTAAATGTGCTGTGACCTGCGGGGCTATTACCCCATGTTAACAAAAACATCCAACTTTGTTGTGCAGAGTTAACACCGGCTCTCTGGAGCTCCTCGGCCTCATTCTTTGCTGTGCCGGGGCTTGCAAGGTAAGTGCTGATTGCTTTGCAAACGCATTGTAGACACACCTAGGATGCTGCACCCCCAGCTCCTGAGCTGGGTCCTGGCAGCCACCTGGGGAAGCAGCCCCTGGCTGTGCTTCACTCCTGGCGTGTCCTGGAGCTGGTGCAAAGAGGGGCCAGGAGAACCAGGGCTGAGGACGCTCTTGTGCAGCCACCGGCTGCCTCTACCCAGGAACCTCCCCAGCGCGATGGGGTGCTAAGCACCCCACCGTCTGCCGAGGTGAAAGGTGCTGGGGCCAACCACCGTGTGCAGGGAACTCGCTGAGCCTCGGGAAGGCAGCGGGAGTATGCCGAGGTCTGATGTGCTTCAGGACAGGGAGCCCAGGCAGCCTGCGCTGCTCAGCTGGAACCCAGCGTTGTCCTGGCTCCCCGCTCTGCAGAGAGCAGGGTCCCCCCATGCCACCTTCCCTTTCCCATTGCTTCTCCAGTTCAATGTGCATTTAACCCCCCCCAGCCATGGGCTGGGTGCATATGGCATCCTCCCTGGAGACAGCAGGACACATAATACAGATGCATTTGGTGCTTGAAGAAAGAAATTTTATTTCAATGCCATAGGCAGAGGCAGATGACAAAGCTTTGGTTACAGGTTTGTCTGTGCTTGCGGACAAACGGAAGGGATGCTGCTGCTGGAAGAGCACAATCCCATGGGTACAGTCACCCTGGGAACCACTTCACTTTGCAGGACCATGGTCGTGGCCGTGGTCGTGGCCGTGGCCATGGTCATGTTCTTGACCAGCATCTGGATGCCGGTCATGGCTCCTAGGATGCGGGTGGGACCTATTGTGGGCATCAATGACTACAAGATTCAGCGTGGTCAGGAACTCGGTGAACTTCAGGCGACCGTTGTGGTTGCCGTCTGCTCTGGTGAAGAGCTTGCTTATGTAGTCATCGACGGTCGTGTTAGGCTGCAGCAGGACAAACACGAAAAAGAGCCTGAAGTACAGTGGGGTTCAAGGTCACCCGCCAGCCTGCAGCTACGACGAGGCTGACCCAGCAAGGATTGCACAGTTTCAGAAAAACCCCCCCTTCCCTTTGGGAGGCTCTCAGCCACCCCCATGCCCCAAGGAGGCCACCACTCCTGCAAGCTCTCACCAGCATTAGGAGAGCTGGACCATGCTCAGCTCTTACCGGAATGGTGCTGTGGAGGAAGGGCTTAGCGTTCTCCTTCAGCAGCTCCGAGAACTCAGGCTTGCTCAGGTAGTCATCTATGGGGTACTTAATGGCGTACTGGTGGTAGATGTTGATGGCGCACTCCAAGGCGAGCTCTAGGTCAGTTTTCATCTTGCTAGGAAGGGACAGGCAGCAAAACATTAAACCCCACTGGAGGAGAAGGACTGCCCTCTCCTCCAGGAGCCCCAGCCAGGCTCATCCCGCTGGCACTTCCAGCAGCACAAAGCCTGAAACCACCATTTGGCAAGGACCTACTCACCTACGAGCGGTGCTGGGGCTGACTTCTGCAGACAGCGGTGCACAGGAGGCGAGGAGTGGGCAGGAGAAGTGACGGCGCGGTGGAGGCGAGGTCTCTTTTATACTCTCCCTAAGCTACGATTTGTGACACCCTCAAATTTCCTTCAGGGTGATAACCCCGGGAATTGAGCAAGGCTATGCAGCACGCCCAGGCGGCAATTTCTTGCCTGGCTCCAGGAACTGGCTGCTCCCAGTCTTAACAAGGGAGGGGACACACCAAACTCGTTAGGACAAAACAAGGAAACGCCAAAAGAGACATTTGCAGGGAGCCAGCATCGTGGGTCAGTGTCGGTGCAAGGGCTTTCCAAGGAGGCGAGAAGTTCCTGCAGAGTTTGGGGGGTCTTTGCGGAGATGATGGAAGAGGAATTTTTCTGGATCACACAAAAGGTGCTGGGTGAGGGTGTCCAGTGGGATGATGCTGTTTTTTCCCAATGGGGGATGTGGTTCATCTCTCCTGTATCTGCCCTGACGCTGTTGAATTTGGCTGGAGGTGTGGTGTCTGCCCCCAGCACGCTGCTGCACGGGTGCTGGGGGATGGCCAATGCATCCCACGCCCCAGTCACCTCTCCAAAATCATGACCTCCTGAATCATTTCTTAACAGCTAGCCAAGGAGCCGGGAAAGACGTTACAAATCCAGGCACGCCAGCATGCCGGAAACCTGCCAGCCGGTCTTAGGAGGTGGCATTTCCCAGCAGCCGTAATTGCTGCCTGATGATAACCAAGGGCATCGGCAATTGCTGCCTATTCCCAGCATTGGGGGGATGCTGCCACATGCGGGAGATCCCATGACATTCCCAGTGCCTGACAAGGGCTGCTAAACCCTGCGTGTCTTGGGGAAAAGACAGTCTGGGGGGGCTGGTGAGGAGCCTGTGCTCAAGGATGCCCAAGCCCTTCACCCCAAGTCCGTGCTTGGTGGGACTGGCCAGAGGCAAAAAGCCGGTGCTGCCATTAAGGCTTTTAGGAATGGGAAGTTCAGTGGTGGTGAAACATCTCCCCGTCAGCCCGCTAATACAGGAGCGTGAAGAACTGGTGCCAGAAAAAGCCTGAATTGCAAAAGAGTGAAACAAAGGGACAGGTTGTGTGATGGAGGGAGATGGGCGCGTCCTCCCCGAGAAGGGGAGCCACGCAGGGCTGATCAGCAGGACACGGGCGCACCGTCAGTGAGACGTGACGGGACACGCATGGGGAGGTGTGAAGGGATGTGCCTGTGCCGCGTGGGGAGGTGGGAGGAGACACATGTGCGGCAGACAAGAAGGGAGAGGCGTGCCCCATGGATCCTCGTGCTGCCATTTGCTGCCCAACGTGCCGCGGAAGCCACGTGCCCACGCACCGGGAACTCCCAGCGCATGCCCTGCCTCGGGGCCCCGCTGCTGCGCCATGGCAGCCCACACGCCGCTGCAAG